CTGAAATAAGAGTGACATTTCTGGCTGGTGCCAATGCAGTTTAAGGACAGCGATCCCCCAAGCAGGGCTGTCCTAGTTGGCAGCATAGATCAAATCATGTAAGAGGTGCTAATGATCTTGCATGCACTGTTTCCTCTTGTAGGGCTCTCCAGAACATGCTCACTGCTGTGAATAACAGAAGCCAGGACTATGGAACGGCAATTAACATTTGGAAGATAAATGGCGTGGCGCTGCGTAAGGGAAGCTGCTTGTAAAAACGGGCACCAGCAGATATCAATGGGGTGGTGATGGAACAAATGGTTAGTTCCTGGCACATGGATAAGCTCAACAGCATTATCAAACGGAATTTGCTAACCAGAAGGGCAATAGAACCACTGAAGGATTTCTGCCGGTGTCTGTTTAGACTTGGTATTAAGTAGGACGCAGATAATAAACAGCTCAAGACGTGTGATGGCCCTTGGCTCCCCCTTCCCTGATATTTTGGACTACAAAACCCAACTGTTCCAGCCAGTACTTCTTTCCCTTTTCTCTTTCTCTTCCTCCCTTGGTTGTCTCCTTCTTTTGGTTTTCCTTCTCTTTTTCCTTTGGCGTCCTCCACTTGGGGCCTTTATTAAGGACCAGGGATTGTTTACTCATGGGAGGGGGTAGAGAGTGGATGGAGGACCCTGGATGGGAGACAGGGAAATGTTGGTGCCCCAGAGTGAGAGGCTGGGAGAAAAAAGGAAAAATCCCAGGTGAAGGTAAAAAGGTAAAGGTAAAGGACCCCTGGATGGTTAAGTCCAGTCAAAGGCGACTATGGTGTTGTGGTGCTCATCTCGCTTTCAGGCTGAGGAAACCAGCGTTTGTTCACAGACAGCTTTCCAGGTCAGGTGGCCAGCAGGACTAAACCACTTCTGGAGCAATGGAACACAGTGACGGAAACTAGAGTGCATGGAAATGCCATTTACCTTCCTGCCGCAGCAGTGGTACCTATTTATCTACTTGCACTGGCATGCTTTTGAACTGCTAGGTTGGCAGGAGCAGGGACCAAACAATGGGAGCTCACCCCGTCACGGGGATTTGAACCGTCGTCCTTCTGATTGGCAAGCCCAGGAGGCTCAGTGGTTTAGACCACAGCGCCACCCGCTGGGATGGGCTACTACCTTCTGTGGGTGGTAAGGAATAAAAACTACCTAAAAGAGAGGACTCTGTATTCCTCTTACTGTAATTGTACTTTTCTATTTTTTTATTTACATTAATGTTTTATGACTTATTGTATTAAAAAAAGACATCAAATTATTAGGGAGGGCAAGGAACACAAGCTTAGGGAAGGCTGGCCAGTGACCTTTGCACTGAAGCAGATAGCCCATGAAAAGGGAATTCATTCCCTTACGGGGATCAAACCTGCAACCTTGGCATTATCAGTGCCATGCTTTCATCAGAAGGCAGATGTGATGCTAATAGGGAGGTTGATAACATGCAGACCCAGATATACAGGTGCTTCAGTCAGTTAGCTTAAGCCAGTGACTCTCTAACTTTTTTCCTCTGGGCCACACTTTCGGGGGGGGGGGAAATGCTCAAATTTTGTATTGATAAGAAATACCTTGGAAAACATAAACAACTTCTAGCAGTGATTTACAACACAGAATGCAACTGCTTTATAATATGATCACGGGACATGCAGAAAGTATAAAACAATGCAGCTACATAAGAACATGGATCGTTCCCAAATAATAATTTAGAAATGAGCCACTTACACTTGCAGACTGAATGAGAGGCGTGAGCTTGCTTTTGCCAGGTAATCTCATTTATATTAGGTCTAATTTGAGACAAACTCACTCACATCTTATCAACACAAGGAAGTCTTTCTTTTTCCTGATCTTTTATATTTAAGCTGCAGCAGTTCTGCATTTCCAAGTTATTGCTTATCTCATTTACTTCCAAAGGAATGCTGTTCTGATCCTGCTTCTCCTTGTGGTCAGTGACTCTTGCCAGATCTTTCTTGTCCTTCATTCAGTCCTATTGTGGAATCCCTGATTATTAGTTAGCATCGATGCAATAATGAAACCCCATGTATATGATCTTACCTCCACTCTAAATTCTCCCAAATTTTGAACGCTGTCCTTGTGTCGCCCACAGACCGCATGATAAAATGAATTGGTAAATTTCCATTCCAATTGCAAAAAGATAGAATCTATACTAGCTTACAAAAAAAGTGGAAATATGCAAAGTAAACAGATTGCTTTTGACAGTAACAGTCCTGAAATTGTCTAAAATATCACCAGATTGCTGTGTACAGGTACTGTATTAACTTTGAAAACATGAAATTCCGAATGGCTCATTCAGACTTTGAATTCATTATCTTCCACATTCAGCTGGAAGATCTTAAAAGGCATCCACAAATGATATACCTTTGGGTTGATTCATGCATTTCCAGAGCAGCATAACCGCTGTCTTTGAAGGCAGAGACCTTCCAGCTCTGCCAAAAAAGCTTAGGAAGTCAAAATGATTTTTTACCTTGGCCCTCAAGATAGTGGGGCGTCTGAGGGATCTGCAGAATCAATGACCTCATGGTGCTGTGGGATGCTGGCAGTGGAGGAAGACCGTGGAGGAAGGAGACTTCAACCAGACATGGAGAGCACCTTCAGGCATTCATGCTCTCAAGCAGGTCTACACTGTTAGGCCTTTGCTCTTCAGCCTAGTGCTAGCTTCCATGAGGACATCTGGGACCAAGGAGAAAAGGGATCCAGCTCACCCCTTGCTTTGATGCGCTCAAGCTGAGCTGGAGAAGAAGAGCTGATGTCTTTTCTATATCACAATTCCAGGCAAAAATGTTGTTTCTGGCATCCTATCTACATTTTAATCTGTGGTATTGATTGTAAATTATCAAAGGCTTATACATTGCTCTTAGTCAGACAGCTCCATTTGGAACCTATATTTCCCCTCCCCCACCCCTTAGACATCATTTTTCTTTTTGAAGCTTTCTTAATATGTATACAAGAAGAGATCCTGACTATGATTAACTGAACAACTTCTCCCGTAATGTTCCATAAAGGTGGGGTGAGTTGCCCTGACTTTGATCGACATGAGTAATGAAACAATACCATTGTGCCTTAAAAAGTCATCTATACAGTTGGGGTTCCTGGAAGCCCCGATCTGTTTGGTTAATTTCTCTACCAAATCAATTGGCCATAGTCCTTTATACCATTCCTGAACTGTATGTTATATAAATATATTTGGAGATTTCCAGTTCCTGGCTAACACTTGTCAGGAATGCTAACAGTTCTTTTAAGTCCATAATTTGTTTATTGAAAAATGATATCAGTGCCAACTTTGGCTTTGTATGTAATGTCTGACCTATATGCTTTCTGAATAGCTGAGCCCAACCATCTCATTTATGACCAAAATCAGCCTGACTTTAGGGAGATCAAAGTTAGTTAGTTAATCAATTTGTACCTCGCTCTTCAGCCAAAAAGGCTCCCAGAGCGGCTTACACAAAATCAAAACAAGAAACTTCCTACCTGCACACTTATATTCTAATAAATAAACTTTGGCTCCATCAATTTTTTCCCCTGATGAAAGGGCAAATTTTAAGAATACAAGGTTAGTTTGCCTTGCTATACAAGAGGTAACTGTAATAAAATTGAATAAAGTAGTCTTTTGCATTTGAATATTGATTTACATCTGTTAATCTAAATAGGATAAAATACTAGAAACTTCGTTGCATAATTTTTAATATATATTTAGCATACAGTGGTACCTCGGGTTAAGTACTTAATTCGTTCCGGAGGTCCGTACTTAACCTGAAACTGTTCTTAACCTGAAGCACCACTTTAGCTAATGGGGCCTCCTGCTGCTGCCACACAATTTCTGTTCTCAACTTGAAGCAAAGTTCTTAACTCGAGGTACTATTTCTGGGTTAGCGGAGTCTGTAACCTGAAGCGTATGTAACCCGAGGTACCACTGTATATGCAGCATTATTAATAAACCCAGTCACACAAAAAACCCAAGATAGCAGCTGTCAATTATGCTGAGAAACTTTCGTGTACATGTTTGTACATGTACATACTGCCACGTTCTACAATCTCGTCTGAGAGACGGTGTTGTGGTGAGAGTTTCGGTCTTAGACTGGAGAGCTGCAGGTTCAAATCTCCACTTAGCCACAAAACTAACTGGTGACTCCCATCCTTGCCTACCTCGAAGGCTTGTTGGAAGAATGAATTGGGGAGAAGGAAGCAAGCTTATCACACTGAGATCCTTGGAGGAAGAGGGAGGAATAAAATGTTACAAAGAGCTCAGGGTGACTCAGATGATTTAGGATGGCAAAACCATCCTGAGGACTTGGCAGTATAGAAATGTAGGAAATGGGTTACATTTCAGAGATACATAGGATAAATTTCAGAGCTACTGACTAGAATTCTGGGGCTGTGCATTCTGTTGGCGGCAAAGCATGACGTTTGAGAATGCACGGGCCATATTCAACTAAATTCTTGCACCTGTGAAAAGGATCAGCACTAGAGCAACGGAATTCCCCTTCTCTCCGCACCCTGTGTTGTCCCCAAATCTGTACCAGAGGGTTGGGGGAAACCCCATAACAGGGGTAATGCTGGGGAAGGAGAGCAGGAGAACATTCAAATGCTCTTTGTGCTGACAGAACATTCACCATGGTGAACAGAGAAGCAGAAGGAGATGGAATTCCATCACTTAATTGTAAGCAGAATTGCTGCAAGAGGCCTGTGGTCAAATCTTGGATTTTGCCAAATCTTGTGCGCTTACTTTGGGCTGCATCAGAACTCTTTCTCGCCTCGTGCATGATGCCCAGGGCCGTGCCAAAGCCTTTCACTGTTCTGTCTTCACTGAGAAGAACAGCAGTGCTTTGTGGTGGTTAGGTTTTTTCAAAAGATATTAGGGCACATGATTTCAGGCTCTTCTGGGAGCAGCTGCAGCAACAGCAGGAGCTTGGAATTTCTCCTTACTCCTTCAGCTCTGTTCTTGCTTGCTGAGCTAAGGAGGGAAAGTGAGGTGATAATTGCCTTGTAATGCAGCATTTAGCATTTGTCTGGTAGGTGATAAATGCAGCATTCTGAGAAGATTAGCACAGTGGAACATATATGCCTACTGGAGGAAGGCTTTGCAATAAACATGAAGCAGTTGGGGACTTCCACTCGACTGCTGTGTGGCGACTGTTAACCCTGTTTATGCATTGCTGGGGAGGGTTGCTTCAATTTCCTGGGGAAATCCAATCAAATCCCTAAGAGGTGCATAACAAGTTCCTAACCAGAGACTGAAATGTGAATGAGGATGCCATTTTTGTTAGCAACCTTCTGTTGCGAAACAGCAATATCTGTTTTGAAAAACCTGGTAAACTCAAGATGATCGTTTTATTTTGCAATAATAATAATAATAACAATAATGTTAATGATAATATGCTTTACTCTGGGCAAGGCAAGATTAGATGGTGTAGCCTGACTGTTGCCAGACCATGATGTAGTGGTCCAAAAAATAAAGATATGGATGTAGACATTGTCTATGCCATTCTCTGTCCCAACAAAGATGGCAACTACACTCTCTCTTTGAAAATGGTTTGCAGAAAGAGGAAAGAGTTTGTGAGCCATGAAAAATCCTCCAACATCCCACTGATCAAAATTGGGATGGTGGTTTTTTGGTCCAGATGTTTCATGCAAGAGCAAAAAAAAGGAGTGTCTTTTGGTCCAGTGCTCTGGCGTGAGCCAGCTGATTCATGCCAGAGCACCGAATCCAAAAACGGGACATTCCGGGATCCAATCAGAAGTCAGGATGTTGTCTGGAATTCCAGGATGTCCTGCTTAAATCAGTGTGGTTGAGTGGTATGCCATGGTATTAAAAAGAGAGAAAAGAATGCCCCCAATTGCTTCCCGTGTACGAAGACTTTTCAGAATAATGTGGTAGGAGAAATTGAATTTATATACTATTATGATCATTGTCATCATCAGTAATTGGTATATATTTTGTGCTCATCCAGGGTTCAAAGCATTTTGTCAATCCTTGAAATGGCCCTGTGAAACTGAACAGTAGTATTACGCTCCTGTTGTTGAGTTAGGGGGCAAGGCTGAAAGATTTTAGGTAGAAGGCCATAGAGGGGGGGTTTCTAAAATCTGAGCTAGGGACCTGCTGGCTCATGGGTCACACTCTTAACCATTAATTGTCAGGGCTTGTGGGTCTCTATAGAATCATCTGTTTTCCTCCAGGCCATGTGGGCAGTTCAGCAGAAAATTAACCTCAGAGGACAAGGCTATAAGCAGCCAGCTTTCACCTACACCAGCAACTCCCCCTCCGACCGTTTGAAAATGGCTGAGAGTCTTGGTGGACCACTTAATATTCTTTTATGCCAGTTGTAGCGATTATAGTGCACCGTTCCTGATACTGTAGGATTTTAATTGTGTTTTTATTGCTCCTTTCATTTCTTATACATTGTGTTTTATTGTATTACGGTTTGAATTCCATAGAATCAATATGAATAAAAATCGATATGAACATTTAATATAATGGATCTACCATCTCCAGTCTTTAACCACAAATCCACAGACACCTTTCCCCTCACCTTCCTTTTCTCCCCATTTTGGTCACGTCTGTTTGATTGCGAGCCTGCGGGGAGGAACCTTCTGGAATGCGTTTTAATCTTCAGGCGCTTTATAAATAATAACTAAAACAGACAAGAATCTGAAGAGCTTCTTTAAGTGTGCTGAAGGGTTAGGAGCATTCCCAGCAGACCTTTACGTTTTTCTACCTTCAAATGGCAGGCCACAAACTCTCCTCTGTTTCTGAAGCAGTTTTCCATGAAGGATTCCTGGAGCCACTGTTTGAGAAGAACGAGTCCATATCTCTCATGGGCATGCATAACCAGCTGGGCAGTTCTCTGGATCTAGGCCCCAAAACATTTTCAGACTTTTATCAATGAACGCTAAATAAAATAATTTGAGAAAGAAAATCTGAGGGTTGGGTGGAGTGGTTGTTGGTGTTGTTTTTGAATTTAGATTTGGTATTGATTTCTGCATGCCAATGCCAATGTGAATTTATTCACAGAGGAACAAGTTTGTGACAATTTCATTAGGAGAAGGCATACGTCAAAGATTCTCTGAGGTTTCCACAACGCAGAGCCTTTCACTGGTGGGCCAGAACTATTTATTTGGTTATTTGATATTTCAAAAATAGGTCAGCAAATAGTCAGAAGTTAAGGAATTAAAAAAAAACCCCAAGGTCCATAAATCAAAAGTTTGACTTAATTTTTTTTTTGTATTAGAAAACCGAGGATGCTTCTGAACAATACTCTAAAAAATGCATCATCTTGTTGGTCTGACAATTTTTTAGCTTGATTTATTCCAGGGTTTTGATTGTTCTGTCAGTAATCGGTTCATCTGGAAGGAAGAAGGTGCCTTTGAAGAAAAAGTATGTGAACTGTAAGTTCCCTTCTGGGCCTTTTACCATAAAAAAAGAGTTAACACCCGACTTGTTCCTTTAGAACAATAAGCTATTATTCACACAACGACAACACCTGAGTTGAGGATGGGATATGAAACCTGTAACTATTTTACATCAAATATGGTATATGTGCTTGTTATGAGCTGGAACACAAATCAGAAGGTGATTTTTCTCCTATCCCAATTTCCTATGGCCAAATTGCATCATGCAGGTGAATATGTATGGCAAAGTCACACTCAACCACAGGATAGTTCCAGATTTCAGCCCTTATTTGGGTGTTACAAGTAACATCCCTGCATGCTCTGACTTAGTGGGAAGGTCTGAAGGCCTAAACCATGGGTAGGCAAACTAAGGCCCAGGGTGCCGGATCCGGCCCAATCGCCTTCTAAATCCAGTCTGCGGACAGTCCGGGAATCAGCGTGTTTTTACATGAGTAGAATGTGTCCTCTTATTTAAAATGCATCTCTGGGTTATTTGTGGGGCCTGCCTGGTGTTTTTACATGTGTAGAATGTGTGATTTTATTTAAAATGAATCCCTGGATTATTTGTGGGGCATAAGAATTCGTTCATAGTTTTTTTCCAAAATATAGTCCGGCCCCCCTCAAGGTCTGAGGGACAGTGGACCAGCCCCCTGCTGAAAAAGTTTGCTGACCCCTGGCCTAAACACATTTGAATTTAGAAGACTTCCTATGAAGAAGAACCAGGGCTTTTTTCCAGCCGGAACTCAGTTCCAGCACCTCTCAGGTGGTATCTGGGCCTGGGCAGAGGAGGAACAGGGGTTTGAGGGACATCACAGCTCAGATGCAGATGAGGGGGAAAGCTGGGAAATAATGGGAGAGGAGGAGGAAGAAGAAGAAGCACCGGGGGGGGGGACAACTAATAGATACAGTGTCTTTAGAAAGCATTCCAGACCCCCCCCCTCCTAGAACCCGACGAGCCTTGAAAGTAGGAGAGCAAAGAGGTCAAAGGCAGAGGGTACTTTTCAGTGATGATGCATTAGGAAGTGGGAGAGATGAAATGTAACGAAGGTACTTTCTATCATATGTGGTGGATGTGTCCTAAGGTGAAGGACTTCTGGGAAAAGATATATAATGAGCTGAAAAAAATGTTGAAAAATACATTTCTTAAAAAACCAGAAGCCTTTCTACTTGGAATAATAGGATTGGAATTGCCCAAAAAAGATGTTAGACTGTTTTTGTATGCCACTACAGCGGCAAGACTTTTATTAGCCAAAAACTGGAAATCGCAAGAGATACCAACAATAGAAGAATGGCAGATGAAGATGATGGACTTTTTGGAGCTGGCCGACCTGACTGGAAGAATCCGCGACCAGAAAGAAGAGGAGACACAAAAGGATTGGAAGAAATTTAAAAATATCTAGCTAAATATTGTAATATAAGATAAAGAGAAATTTCTTGGAAGTAATAATTAGGCTTAGGTGTAGAATAAGAATAGGTTGTTGATAAATATTAAGGATTAAAATATTAATAAAGGAGAAAAAGTTAGTAAATGAAAGAAGTTAATACTTTAGAAATACGAATTTGGAGAACTGCTAAACAGGTGGTATAATGAAATTCAGTTAGAGGGGATTTGAGGAAGTCAGTTATCAATGTAATGAAAGTAGGGTTTGGAAGTAATAATTCTTTTTTATGTCTTTTCCTTTGTTTTTGTGTCTTGTATTGTTTTTCGTTTTTCTTGATTTTTTTGTTTGTGATAAATGTGAAAACCAATTTTAAAAAAAATTTAGGGGGGGGAAGGAAGTTGGAGAGATGAAGGGGCAGAGATTCACTCGGGACAGCGCCATTATTCCAAAAGGCTGCATTCCAAGCCTCTCTGTGTAAATATTGGTGGTAAGGACTTTTCCTTGTCTTATTCGTTCCTGGCAACCTGCTGTAGGGGTTGGTTCCTCTGCCGCCTGACAGGTGTGCGCCATTGCCATTCTAAGAGAACAAGGGAGGTGGTGAGTTCTGGTGCCTCTTTTTCTAGACAAATAGCACTGAGAAAAACCCTGTGTTATCCAGGCTCTTCACCACATCAAAATAATACACTTAGAAACCACCTTCAGAACTTCCTGAAGGTCAGGGTAGAGCACATGGGGCTGGAACTTGTGCAGACTTTGAAGATGGCACTGTCATTCATGGCTCCTATTCCTGTTCTGACTCTCACTTGGGCATGGTGCCTGAACAGGACTTCTTGCACTTAAATGGGGATTGAGTCATTATGACTAACTTGCCCCCTTTCCCCTCTAAGTTTCACCTAAGTTCCACTAAACTAGCCTGGATTCAACCCTATTTCTTTTTTTCCAGATAAGAATATTTTTGTGTGTGTTTAGTGAATCCCAGAACAGTTGGTTCACACATGCATGCACATCCTTCAGTTTGCATTCTCAGTTGCTCAGCTTTTGACAGCTTGCAGAAGAAAATGCAAATTTGAGGCTACGTTACATAGGATGCAGAGATTCTGTCAATAATAACACATGTGTCAGCAGCCTTGCCCCTAATATGAATAAGACAAAGGAGATAGTGTTGGACTTCCGGAGGAAGAGAGTGAAACCTGCCCCGTTGTATATCGGGGGGGGGGGGCTTTGTGGAGAGAGTCTCCTCCTTTAAATTCCTGGGAATTTACCTTAGTGAGGACCTCAC